ACATTATTTCTCAAACAAATGGAATTATTAAACAAATCGATTTGGCAGTTGATTTTGTTCCCTCGCTTTTACATATCTCTACGGACTTTTCTCTAAATATTACCAATTTCAAGCTTCACAGAGGCTTTGAAATATTGTTTGCAAGCAGTTTCACTAAAAAAGGCGAAAAGATTGATTAATTCAATTTCATCTTTTGATGAGCCTTTGGAAAAATCAATCTCTCGTTGTTTGGAGAAGAATTAAGTTGATTTTAAGTGAGGCAGAACCGAGTAGGATCTTGTTTTGGAGGTAACAGATCAGACATTAAGTCATTACTTCACATAGAGAGGAACTAAATGAAAAACAATCGTGCGTAAATACATTTATTAGGAGGGTTTGGAATTTTGGGATGTTTATCGTTTTGGACAGAATATTTGATGTTTTCAGCAAGCTTCAGCAACTGTGCAGAGCCCACTAATCTGCTTTTTCAAATTGTTTGCTGCTTATTAACCCCATGATCTATATTCTATTTAGAAAGCATACCTTAGGACTGAAGTTTATCTACCCTACAAATAGTGCAATCTCTTAAGATTGCTTTGGAGTGTTACGAATGCTAGGTCCCAATGTATAATGTAGAATGCTAAAATTTGCTATGCAGAAATTGCAGGGAGCGAACTCGTGCTTGTGCAAAACAAATAGCAGCCCAATTTCAGTCTAATTATTGTTTAATAGTAACAACTACTGCTTTGTGCTTGAAATTGTATCATCTAGCTCTAACATAAAAACGAAATTTTTGAATCAGTTCGTAGATTTTCAAATTTCAGGTTCATCTGCTTTTCCCAACGTTTATTATTCTTACCTACTTCATAATGATACTTCCTGTTAGATTCAAATGTTTGTCTGACGTGATTAAAAGCCTTCAAATAACACTAATATAATCAGTTTTTTATATCTAGAGTAGAGGTACCTCTAGAAAATAATCAGAATTTGTCAATGATGCTGGAAGAATTGAGAACTCCACTTACGCCACGACGTTTGGATAGCCCTGTGGACAACGATGATAGCGACACAATTGTCCTAACAGCTGATGAGGCTGTTTTTCTGCAAGCATCATGGCAGAGGTACCGATTAACTTATACTTGAAGAGCAGTAGCAGGTAGGGGTTGAAGAATGGAAACGAAACAATTTTTTTCCATTAACTATTACTGCAAAATTCTCTGAAAAATTCAAAGTAGATAGAAAAAACTTTATCCATTCCTGTAAAAGGGGCGTGGCTCGTTCTTGTCTACGCCACGCTCCTTCTTGAGAAATTCTTTCCATGTTGTCCTTT